TTATTATTATTATTAAGATTATATGATTTACTTCACTAGTTTTTATTTTACTATATTCGCAGATCGAGTGCGATGCATCATACATCTATCCCCGGCAGAGCATGGAAGCGTTGGCTGGGCTCGGACTGCTGGGGTTGCTCGTACCGAAATCACTGGGAGGCATGGGCGAGAATCACACGACAGCGGTGATGGTGTGTGAAACTATCGCCCGCTACGGTTGCTCTAGCACGGCAATGGTGTACGGTAGGTGTGACAGAGAGAGGGGAGGGCAAGGGGAGAGGAGGAGAGAGGGCGAGGGGGAGGGGGAGAGAACCACACGACAGCAGTGATGGTGTGTGAAACTATCGCCCGCTACGGTTGCTCTAGCACGGCAATGGTGTACGGTAGGTGTGACAGAGAGAGGGGAGGGCGAGGGAGAGGAGGAGAGAGGGAGAGGGGGAGAGGGAGAGAACCACACGACAGCAGTGATGGTGTGTGAAACTATAGCCCGCTACGGTTGCTCAAGCACGGCAATGGTGTACGGTAGGTGTGACAGAGAAAGGGGAGGGCGAGGGGGAGAGGGGGAGAGAGGGAGACGGGTAGGGAGAGAGGGGAAGGCATGGGGAGAACCACACGACGGCGGTGATGTTGTGTAAAACTATCGCCCGCTACGGTTGCCCTAGCACGGCAATGGTGTACGGTAGGTGTGACAGAGAAAGGGGAGGGCGAGGGGGAGAGGGGGAGAGGGGCAGGGAGAGAGAGGGAGGCATGTGAGAGAGCCAGGAAAGGAGAGAGAGAAGAGGAGAAAGAGAGAGAGAGAAAGGGAGAGAGAAAAAGAAACAAAGCGAGAGATAAAGATAGAGAGAGAAAAAGAGCGATAAAAAGAAAAAGTGAGAGAGAGAGAGAGAGAGAGAAAGCGAGAAAGAAAGCAAGAGAACGAGAGTGAGAGGGGGGGGGAGATAGAATCGCTTGCGTATATCTACAATATCCAATTAAAGATCTTAAAGGCCTCGGCGCTTATTTTCAGATCTGGTTGGCCTGTCGGGCAACAAGAAGCAATTTTTACTTGTCCGAATTTTGATTTTACTTGACTTTTTATTTTTGATAGACGAGGCTAAAAAATCGTTGTTAATGTACCAATGTTTGTACAGGTACAACACCGATTTTCCGGAACCCTTGGTTCCAAGGCCTTTCCGGATTATCCGTTTTTAGCTCACCTTGACATCGTCAAGTTGAGCTATTGCCATGGGTCGTCGTCCGTCGTACGTCCGTCCGTCCGTCCGTCCGTCCGTCCGTCCGTCCGTCCGTCCGTCAACATTTGGCTATGGTCAACGATAACTCAGAAACCGTTTGATCCACATGTTTGAAATTGGAGATAGTTGTTATTGCTATGGTCCCATATTAAACATCCTATTTTGGAGCACGCCAGTCGACGTACTTGCGAGTCACGGCAATTTTTGGTCAAAAATGGGAATTGCCATTAGTCAGTTCAGGTTCAACGGATTGTGCTCATTTTTGGTATGTGAATGAATAAGGGCTAGGAGTTTTGATATTTGAAAAAAAATTCTGCAAATTAGGTAGGGTTTGACAATTATATAGCATATTATATAGACACGCAAATAACTTTATGTACATTTGAGGCGACGGCAGGCATTTTCTCTCGCCAAACACGTCGTTCGTGTTCTGCCGCTGCTTGTTGCTAGGGGAAGGGGGTGAATCGCACACGTCCAGGTAGCAACCAGGCCGTATATAAGGAAGCCGAAAAACCGTAGAAATCAGAACGCCGGGGGCGCGAAATTTTTTTTCGAAACGGTATAACATAGCGAAGAATTTAGCGCCTTCTGATTGGCTGCTTCGATTTGCTTTGCCTTTGACAAGAGAACAAACGCCATTTGTAAATGTTTGTTTGGGTTTATGACCGCTAGATAAGTAAGTTTTGTGATGTATTTTCCATGAAAAACGAAATATTTTCCTCATTAATATAACATATAATATCAATACAATTGCAATTATTTCTGCAAATGTGTTATTTTTATCTCAATCTTAAGTTATGAGAGGGTCTGGGCTCTCGTAATACTACATACGTACGTATACACGCACTCGTAGTGCTTCGTCGCAGGAGGAAGGAGCAAAGGGCTACGACAGTACTACGGGAGCTACGACGGTACTAGTACTAGGGCTACGACAGAACTAGAGCTATACGTACTCGTACTCGTTGACGCTAGTAGTAGTAGTACTAGTACGGTAGTATAGACGTAGTAGTAGCCTATAGTGTTTAACCCTGAGGTCAGCTGAAACGTAAACTAATCGGACCACGGCACGGACATAAACAGAAACTTGACAGCTATAACTATAAGCTCAGACCCACTCATAACTTAAGATTACGATGAAAATAACACATTTGCACAAAGAATTGCAATTATAGTGATATTATATGTTATAATAATGAGTAAAATATGTGTTTTTTTATGGAAAATACATCAGAAAACTTATACTTATCTAGCGGTCATAAACCAAAACAAACATTTACAAATGGCGTTTGTTCTCTTGTTTTGAAGGTTTTCTTCAGTCCAAGCAAATCATTCAAGAAACGGCATCATATTGGGTTAATTCACTCAAACCCATGTTGTTTTAAAAAAAACATACTAAAAAACCACTTCAACCTAACTTACAGAAAGTTCGGGAAAGTTTTTGGTAGATAATTGGGGATTTTGGCTACAAGTCATGGAGGCTGACATCTATCCAAATTCCAGCCAATCAGAAGGCGCCTAAATCCTTCCTATGTTATACCGTTTGGAAAAAAAGCCGCCCTAGGAGCTACAAAGACACG